GGGCCTCACCACCTCACAGTCAAGAATTTCTTCCTCATATCCAGTCTAAATCTTCCCTCTTCCAGTTTAAAACCATTCCCCTCATTCTATCGCTCCCTGCCCTTGTAAAAAGTCCCTCCCCAGCTTTCCTGTAGGACCCTTCATGAGCTGGAAGGCCGCAATAAGGTCCCCCTGGACCCTTCTCTTCTCCAGGCTGAACAGCCCCAACTCTCTCAGTTGGTCCTCGTAGGGGAGTTGCTCCAGTCCCTGAGCATCTCTGTGGCCCCCTCTAGACTTGCTCCAACAGCTCCATGGCCTTTTTATGTTGGTGGCCCCAGAACTGGACGCAGCACTGCAGGTGGGGTCTGGCCAGAGCAGAGCAGAGGGGCAGAATCCCCTCCCTGGCCCTGCTGGCCACACGTCCTGTGATGCAGCCCAGGATGGGAGTGGTTTCTGGGCTGCAAGTACCCATTGCCAGCTCATGTTGAGTTTCTCATCAACTGACACCCCCAAGTCCTTCACCGTGGGACTTCTCTGAGCCATTCTGTGCCCAGCCTGGATTTGTCCTTGCCCTGACCCAGGTGCAGGACCTTGCAGGACTTTCTCAACTGAGTCCTGGATGTGCTGATCTGTTGAATTCATATACCTGTCGACTTGATAGGTCGATTTGTCACAGAGCTGTGACATTCGTGAGATAGCAGTGCTTCTTGCTTTTGACAAGGCCGTGTTGCTGTCACTGGCTTTTGAAACAGCCCAGATGAACTGGTTACTGCTTTTGAGCTGCTGCTGATTGCATATGGATAATTTCCCAGTAAGAATAAGGATTTTTACCTCCTTAGTTTGTGTGACTGTAGGGCTTCAGCAGCTGACTGAAAGCTGACAACAGTAGATATCATACTGTTAAACTGATATCTTTAAATCTTTTAATGTAAGGTTACTTCTCAGTGTTTTAACATGATGTAATGTATGTTTCCTAGTATATTACTATGGTCCTGTACACAACTTAATTTGAGCAACAAAATGGAAAGCAGTTTCAGTGTTTTAAAATTTTACATCTGTATCCTAAGTGGTGTTAATGTGTTTCTGGAGTTGGAGGAGGAGCAGCTTTTTGACTGTTAAGCTCTGTGGTACTTGCATTTCTGGCTATCTCTTCCTGTAAAGTGGCTGTGCTACTTGAAACTTCAGGCCTTGTTCTTGCATTTCTTGCTTATTCTTGGTTGGTGTGGGTTTTGAATGTCTCCATTGCTCATAGGAGAGATCTTGGCAATAAATAGTGCCACCTGTTCAGTTCTGTCTGGCTTTTCCCGTAGGCATCATTAAAGCAATGCTTTTCCTTAATTTTTAACACTAGGCAATTTAAACACTTTAAAATTCAGTGTATGTATTGTTTAACATCAAATTCTGTTGTTTCTGTCCCTTCTGCTAAAATCCTATCCATCCTTTCTTTTTTTTTGTTTGCTCATTAGGTGACACAATGCATGTATACTTTTCCAGTTCTAGTTGGGTGATAATTCATTTATTTCAGCCTGAACTTTAAAAGCTTAATGTCAAGTGGGCTACTGGAAGTCTTAATATAGTAACATGAAGGAAGGAGGTGCTGATTTTCTGAGATAATAGGAAAAAGAAGTGGGTTTGGTTATGTCATCAAGCCCATATTCCGTGAGTTTAGACAGTTTGAAGAGAATTAATAAAGCTAGTGTTAAACTTCAAGTGTTAATATGAGTATGCTCACTTGGCTCTTTCATATACTCTGTATTGCTGCATGCAGCTTTGCAACAACTGGAAGGCCTTGAGTTTACCAGTTTGGGGAGAAAAAACAACAACCCCACAACCCCTACATACAGAAATTGCAACGAGCTTGCCAGTCCTGGATCTTTCCTTCTTTCACCAATTCAATTATGTTAGTACATCTCCAAAATCACTACATTGTGAAGAATTTTTGCTTCTGGATAACTACTCTTTTGATCTTGACTGCATGTAGAGTGGATCCCACAAGACCTGAACAGTTCTGGGACAGGTTTAAGCTGTACAGGCAGGCTGGGACTTATGGTTTCAATCAAAGGAGAAGGGAAAAGGGATGGGGGCAAGATCTTGACTCCTGCCTTCTGGCTGGGTGCATTACCAGTTGTGTTTTCACTTCCATTCTCTGAACGGTTCCCCAGGACTGAATAACACAGGTCTGAAAAAGACCAATGCTGTTGTATTTGGAGAATTACAGATTTTAAATCCTAACACACATGGATGGCTCTCCTGCAGTTCTGTGGTGAGATTTGAGATGTTTTACTCTATTAATTTCTGTTGAGAATTATGACTTCTTGATCAGCATGTGGCTTTTTGGATAGGGCCTTCAGGAAAACAGTCTGCCCTTTGGTATTAAATAAAGACCTCCAGAAACTCAAGACTGGCATGCAGTTAGTGTCTAAGCCCTGACAGTATGCACAGTATCAAGTAATCCAGTAACTTCTTTCTAATACCTGGTTTAGGGTACTATTTTATGAAGCTAACTTAAATATTCATGTAATTTAAATGTTGGTCAAACTAACAAGCTTGTACTTCTGAAAACGGAGATGGTGGCTTAGACTGGGTGGATAACATGCAATTGGGTATAGTAACTTGGTTTAATCTGTGTTGTCAAGGTATCTTTCAGCACTTTTGCTAGCCTTCTGCAGTCATTAATTTTTTAAGTAGCATTTTTTTACATCTCTCTTCTTTTATGAGTGACTCTCTTGTAGTCTTGCCAAAGCCAGTAGTAACAAGTGAAGGTACTGCAGAAATTCTTAGAGGAATAAGGGTCTTTATTCATATTTAGACTTAGATGCTTGAAAAATAGATATTTGATGCCTTAGACAGGGCCGTCTGTACAGAATTAATTTTACTTCCTAATTGGAAGTTCTAACAAAGCAAATTCTGCTTATCGAATTTGACACTGCCCTTTCTGTTGAATTGCATCTAGAAAACATTTCTATCTTGATTGTCACAGAATATGAGGAATTGGAAGGGACCTGGAAAGATCACCCAGTCCAACCCCTGCCAGAGCAGGATCCCCCAGAGGAGGTCACACAGGAACACGGCCAGGGGTTTTGAGTGTCTGCAGAGAAGGAGACTCCACAACCTCTCTGGGCAGCCTGGGCCATGCTCTGGCACCCTCACAGGAAAGAAGTTTGTCCTCATGTTCAGGTTGAACCTCCTATGCTCCAGCTTGCTCCCACTGCCCCTTTTCCTGTCATTGGACATCCCAGAGCAGAGCCTGGCTCCTTCCTCCTGACACTTGCCCTTTCCAAATGGATCCCCATGAATGAGGGCACCCCTCAGTCTCCTCTGCTCCAAGCTCAAGAGCCCCAGCTCCCTCAGCCGCTCCTCAGCAGGAGATGCTCCACTCCCTCCATCATCTCTGTGGCTCTGCTGGACTCTTTCAAGCAGTTCCTGTCCTTCTTGAGCTGAGGGCCCAGAACTGAACACAATATTGCAGATGTGGTCTGAGCAGGGCAGAGCAGAGGGGAAGGAGAAGTGACTCTTCTTTCTAGAAGGTGTTCCCAAACTCTAGTTTGTGGTGCTGCTTCTGTGACTGAAATTCAGGAAAGTGAGTATCAGCCACAAGTGGGATTTTGTGGCTTCTTTTAGCAGTTTCCAGTGTCAGCCTTACTGATACAAAATTATAAAATATAAAATTAAATTATAATCTATAAACTATATATATAAATTCAATGCATCCAACTGCTGGGCTGGGTAACTCATACATCTCAGCTGTCTGTGCAGTCTTTTTTAATGTGTCACCCTGCTTCCAAGCACATCACATGTTGGGTTTTGGAGAAAACCTGCCCTGAGGACAGCTTTGTCCCTGCAAGGACTTGACTTTGAAGCTTCATGTCTGCTGCAATGCTCAGCCCACAAAAAAGGACTGGAACTGCAAATAACCATCCCTTCAGTTTTTTTACAGAACATTTTAAACTGAGATGGAGCTTCAGACTCCGTAGCTGCATTGTGTGATTTGGAGAAAATAAGTTTAATAAAAAGAGGTATTTAGAGTGCCACTTCAATACTAAGTACAGGACAAAAGTAAACGTAGTAAGTTGTTAGCTGGTAAAAATGATGTTCGCTAGTTTATTTCTGGTGGTTAGTAGGTCGAGAGAGGTTCTCCTCCCCCTCTACTCTGCCCTGGTGAGACCACATCTGGAATATTGCGTCCAGTTCTGGGCCCCTCAGTTCAAGAAGGACAGGAACTGCTGGAGAGAGTCCAGCGTAGGGCTACAAAGATGATGGAGGGAGTGGAGCATCTCCTGCTGAGGAGCGGCTGAGGGAGCTGGGTCTCTTTAGTTTGCAGAAGAGGAGACTGAGGGGAGACCTCATTCATGTTTATAAATATTTAAAGGGTGAGTGTCACGAGGATGGAGCCAGGCTCTTCTTGGTGACAAACAATGATAAGACAAGGGGTAATGGACACAAGCTGGAACGCAGGAGGTTCCACTTAAATTTGAGAAGAAACTTCTTCTCAGTGAGGGTAACAGAGCACTGGCCCAGGCTGCCCAGAGAGGTTGTGGAGTCTCCTTCTCTGCAGACATTCAAAACCCGCCTGGACGCCTTCCTGTGTAACCTCATCTGGGTGTTCCTGCTCCGGCAGGGGGATTGGACTGGATGAGCTTTTGAGGTCCCTTCCAATCCCTAACGGTCTGGGATTCTGTGATTTCAACTGTGCATTGACAATATAGTGTGTGGTGACTAAGGATTCATAATCTGAAAAAAGATAGAGCTTTAAGTGTGAGACTAACAGCCAAAGCTGGTATAAGCAGTGGGGACACTATTGCAGTGTCTGTTCTCTGAAATACAGCACATTGCTTAATCGTTTTCTTTAGGTGAATTAGCTTTAACTTAAATTCCAGCATTTAAAATGGACAAACTGGGTGGTTGATGCTTTTTCTTAGGCCTTTGGTATGAGCAGTTCTTTGAGTTCTGTAAGAATTCTATTGAACTACGTGGTTTTTTTGTTTCATTTGATGTTAAACGCTTCTCTCCTTTATTTCTAGGACTGGGCTGATGCTAATGTGTCAAGACAAATTGAAGACACTGTACTTTACGGGTACTACAGTAAGTATTTTCAACTTCTAAGGTTTTTGTCTTTTTAATTAAGATCTTTAAGTGAAGGTGTGAATTTGTTAGGGGTCGTACTGGATTATCTCTTTAAATGCTAATCTTACACTTACTGCTCTTTAGTGGCTTTTGTTAAGTTCAAGAGCCCCCTGAAAAAGCAAACATACTGAAGGCCAATGTATGAAAAGGCCAGTGGCTTCTGTCATATAATCTACTGTTAACATGTTTTCTGTGTGTGTATTTAGAGGCCTATTAAAGGAAACACATGATTTTGCTGTAGTTTTTTATGGCACTTAACACATACAACGGTGTGAAACTTCCCTATGTGTATAAATTTTGTGCAACTGAGTGTAACAGTTGTGGGTTTAAGTGTTCAGATTCAGCAGCTACCATATTCAAAGTAAGAGCTACTTTAACAGAGCATAAAGGAGCTGATTCAAGAGGGGTAATCATAAACAAAACTGAAGTAGAAAAGTAACTGAGAGAAAATCTAGTAAAGTAACTTCTAAAATACTGGTTTATTGTCCACAAAGTCTTCACTATAGAACAGTGGAATTGCTTTGTATTTGCTTCCTACTCCTGTTAGGTTGCCAAGGTCTGTTTTAACAGCCCAAGCTTCTCACAACTCCTGACATGGAACAGACTCTTCTGTGGACCATTTTCTGTTGATCTGTGAGACTGATGGATCGATTTCTGTAAGAAGTTTTGGGCTAACCGAGTCTCTTTTTAAATCAAGATGTTTCTCAGCAAGTCCTGAACTAATTTTGGAGTAGATCTGAGCTTACACCTGAAACTGCCTTTTTTTGTGGCCTATCTGGACAGGTCTGCTTGAAATATTGTAGGACTAATGTTTTATTTCATAGCATATCCTCCAGATGGTGGTAGAGGTTTAAAGTTGGTTTAACAAGTATTTTGCTTTTGTGATCTTGATTTGAGGAGCTGATGCACATTTTTAGAGCTTGAGCTACATTGATGTGAACAGTAGTAGGTAACTTATTTTTCAGAAGCCTGCATCATTCCTATATAACAACACAACTTAATGCCTCTGCTGCATCATTAGGTCGTGTCCCCTGCTGCTGTTACAGTGTAGTGAGATGAAAGCTGAGAAGGAAGAAGTTAAACAACTCTTCCAGTTGTGTAATTCTAGTAATATTTTTTAACTTTTATCCTCTTATAAAAGTATTTGGTCTTGGTATGTTTGTTTGTTTTGGTCGTGGGTTTTATTTTTTAAAAAACAGAATCATCAGAACTGAAATCTTTTTGTACTTAAGGGCACAAATACCAGTACTTCTATCTCCTGAAAATCAAGTGGTAACTGTATGTATCTTACTTGCCTCCTGTAGCTATGTCAACAGCTTATGCTATGAGTAATTGGTAGACTTAGGTCACTGCCCTTCAATCCAAGGCACTCCTCAATTGTAGCAAGAATCAGGAGGCTGTGGTTTAACTGATGTTTTGGAATATTAAGGATTACTTTACTACTTCACACCGAATCCCAGAACGTTAGGGATTGGAAGGGACCTCAAAAGCTCATCCAGTCCAGTCCCCCTGCCGGAGCAGGAACACCCAGATGAGGTTACACAGGAAGGTGTCCAGGCGGGTTTTGAATGTCTCCAGAGAAGGAGACTCCACAACCTCTGTGGGCAGCCTGGTCCAGTGCTCTGTTACCCTCACTGAGAAGAAGTTTCTTCTCCAATTTCAGTGGAACCTCCTGTGTTCCAGTTTGTGTCCATTACCCCTTGTCTTGTCATTGTCACCGACAAGAGCCTGGCTCCATCCTCGTGACACTCACCCTTGATATATTCATAAACATGAATGAGGTCTCCCCTCAGTCTCCTCTTCTGCAAACTAAAGAGACCCAGCTCCCTCAGCCACTCCTCATAAGGGAGATGCTCCACTCCCTTAATCATCTTTGTAGCCTTACGCTGGACTCTCTTCAGCAGTTCCTGTCCTTCTTGAACTGAGGGGCCCAGAACTGGACGCAATATTCCAGATGTGGTCTCTCCAGGGCAGAGTAGAGGGGGAGGAGAACCTCTCTGACCTACAACCACCCCCTTCCTGATACACCCCAGGATGCCATTGGCCTTCTTGGCCACAAGGGCACATTGGTGGCTCATGGTCATCCTGCTGTAATGTACTTGTATTGCAACTTACTGAGAAAGCTGTCACTAAATGTAGAAAAGCTTATTTTTATTTTCGACACTACCCCCCATGAGCAGTGCCCTTTCTCTCATACTCAGCTGGTTTCTTGGCTGGACTGATACAAAAATAGAATGGCTTTGTACTGCTAGAGTGAGAAATGAGGTAACTCTCAGAATGGAGCTTGAAATAACTGCATTTTGAAGTGGGACTTCAGTAGCCCAAAAGCTTTACTTAGGAAACTAGTCCACTGGTTGCTTTGAAGCTGTAGTGGTTTAGTGAGTTAATTTTCATAAAACCAACTGTATGCATCTGTGTTTCCTTTTTTTAAATGTCTGGTGGTTCCTAGGTTAAAGTTCTTGTAGAAATTATCTGAAGTGGTACTTGGTATAACTTGGGTGGTTTTTACATGGATTTTTGTCTACTTATAGCACGTGCTTGATACAGAGTCACTGACACAAGGACCTGGGCTTCTAGGAATTAGTAGGCACGAGTCAAATGCGGCTGCATGTTTTCATGGTCTGGTCCAACACTGTGAATGGCTTGCATAGCTGTACTTGACAAATATTGTGGAGTTATATCTACAGAAACACTTTCCTAATAAGTGTGATTTTTGAGAAGTGATGTGCAGAACGTGAATTAAAAGCCTGCTGTAGTATTGACAGATCCTGTGGTGAACTACTTTACCAGTCCTGCTTCAAACAAGTGTCTGATGGCTTGAAATTCACTGTGTTGTATTCCTTAACTTTCACTGGGGAAAACAAGATGTCTGTTCTTGCAGTCTTGAAAAACCGTTTAAAGGAATGTTTATTAGATATGAGAATTAATATATTTGGGAAGAAACACTTGGATTTTCTGAAGTAGCTTGTGACTTCTTGGCAGAAGTGAGGGAGTAAGTAACAAAGCATTGCTTTAAGCAACTTGATAACATTGATTTTATGCAATGCCCTGGTATGTGGTACTATCTGGAAAAGCAGGAGTCTTGTGTGATGGAAGAAACTTCTGATCATCTTCTTGATCAGAATATATGTCTTTAACTGAGTATTCTTGAGCCTCCTTTAGTATCCTGGAGGGATTTGAAGGACCATGTTGGTCTTGGATACTCTGGTTGAAATCTTCCCAGATGTCAAAGTCAAAACATGAAGGGACCATTGCTATAATTTACTTGAAGACTACTACCAGGTCTAACTTTCTCAGAGTTAAGATGTCTTTGTATTGATACAGTGGAAAACAGCAGAAAATGAGCCATTTTGACTTAAGAATTGCTCTTTGAGAAACATCTCAAGGTCTGTCCTGAAATGATTTTGCTTGGGAAAAGTAAATGCAAAGCTGCTTCTAAGTTCCTTTTTTTGTGTGTTACAGTCCTATAAAATGACTGTGGTAACAAGGTTTTTCAGCAGAGCAAATAACAGAGCTGTTGCAACAGTGTCAGCTGGAGTTTATGCTACCACATGTTAATAGTTACCCTCAAGCTGTAACATGAAATCTTGTCTGGAAATGCCTTGAAAGCCTGTAACTTCTAGAGAGCACATTTAAGGTGAATTTAAGGACTAAGTGCCAGCAGAGCATTTGTGATGGATGGAAGATTCTGGGATGTCTCATGCTGAATCTTGTTGTGTATGCAGATCCTGTCTCTGAGCTGATGCAGTGTGTGCTATTAGAGCTCAGTGTTTTTCAATACAAAACATCTGGTTCAAGTTAGCATTGGTTGAGGACTTCAGGGCTTTTAGTAAAGCATAAATGTGAATTAATTGTGGCTATTTAATGGCTTCAAATAGTGTCTGTGGGGCAGAAAACTGCAACCAAAGTTGATTGTACCCCATTTTAGATGGAGGTGACTCCCTGAAGGGTGTGTAAACTACCTGGAGGTATTGGTCTCTCCCTGGGGATCTTCCAAGAAGAACCCCCAAGGAGAACCATCACAGCTCTCCAGGTGCTTTAGCTGCACCTGGAATGAACTTGGCTCGATTTTTGGAGTCAATAGCTTCAAAAGTGTGAGGACTATTGCTTAAGTATTAAAGCTAGATACTCTCTTGAAATGAACGTGCACACTGTTTGTGCTGGAAGGGGTCCTGTTTCTAGCAGCATGGTAGTGTTTTTATTGCCCCTCTGCTTGAGCTGTTGTTGGCAGTTGGTGGATGCTTGTGGTGTGCTAACCCAAATTTCAAAATTGGTAGAAATTCACTTTGATCCAGAGGTGGTGAGGTTGGAAAGGGATCTCTGGAGATGCTCTAATTCAATGTACTCCCTACCCACAGCAGCTCATTGATGCCAGTCTCTAGTTGGATATCTCCAAGGATGGAGACTCTACTATGCATTTGAGTAGCCTGTTCCAGTTCCTGACTACAGGCAGCATAAAAGTTCTTGTTGAAATGAGAATAATTTTATTTCAGTTTGTGCTTATTTCCTTTTTGTCCTTTCTGTGGGCACCACTGAGAAGTCCACCACAGTCCTCAGTCCTGCACCAGTATTTCTACACATGGAAAACTTTACTTGACTACTCTGTGCTGTTCAGATGCTTTTTCAAAGCTTGATGAAGGCTGGACAAACTATACATCAATTAAACAGCCTAATCCAATTAAATGAGACAATTCAAAAAGTTCATTTGATAAGTGTAGCTGATGGTCAGTAGCCATTGAGAGTAGTCCTCTGCTAATAGTACTGTAGCAGGTCAGAAATACATAGGGAAGTGGACATTAGTATGAAGAATGACAGGGAAGTGACAGGAAACACTTTTCAGAAAGGAAAGAATTTATAATTTTATAAGAGAATTTTTCTAATTTCCTAATACAATGTTAAAACATACTATGTAAACCAAATTAAAGCTATAGATTAGCAATGTGGTCAGTAACTGAACA